AGGCCCCGTAGCTCAAAACTTTCGGCACGCCGATGCATGAGTGTACATAGCAGTGTGCAGAAGCACAAGCCCCAGAATGAACTCTTCTTCCATGAAAGCCTTCAGCAAGTTTCCCCTTCCGGAGAGGTGTTGCGGGGACACAGGCTATTGCCTAATATGCTCCTTGAGGCAGTACGCAGTGCTGTCCGATTACATCAATGGCCACGACGACCTGTCCAGCGCTGAATCTCCCGAAGTCTGCTTGTGGGATTACAGGCCAACTTCCAAGGATGCGTTGTGCATCTGCAGGGTTGCTTCTGTGATGCTCATCACTGTTGTACCGGTTCTTAAAGGGTTGACCAGAGTAACGCTGATTATGTTCTTCACGGTAACCGGTAACCAACACGAGTTAAAAAAGTGCCATACTTCAAGGGTAGTCTCCAAGAAGAGGACTTATTCCTACATTCCGCAACAGAAAGAGAGTCCGCAAATTCCCTGGAGTCGAAGATTCGTAACTAAGTCCAGCTGTAACGTAGAGCACTTTCGCGCTTTCATGGTTGCATTGGGCTGCTGGCGTTTGGATTGAAGGCTCTTGGCTGCTGTCAGGTTGCTGCAATCAAGGTGTGAGGGTTTTGACCGATGGGGGGTTGCTGCACGAATTTGGTAACACTTAGTTTGGAAATCCAACTTCCTGTCGCTACTAGAAAAGACGAAAGGGATGATTATATGCAGCGCCGAAGGGGTTACACAGAGACTGCACGGTGATGGAAACACCAGCAATCTCTAACATTCTGAGGCTCATAGCACCTCTGGAGCACCTGGCGGCACAGGAGGAGACCGTCATCCGAGATCAGGCCGTTGGTATGATGAGGTAGGTATCTCTCAACACCAGGGTTCCATGCATTTAGTGTCTTGGGAGAAGGTAGCAGTTCTGAGGCCCGTTGCATACCGTCAGTTACCCGTCAGTTGCTTACAATCCATGATTTGGATAGCTGCACTCACTCACCAAGCCTGCTGATGACGCGAGGCAATCCAATCTCTTTGCAAGGTCATCGAAAAGAGGCTGGCTGACCAATCATGTACATGTAGTCTAGACTTCAGCCCAGTGCATGTATCTCAGTCTTTTTGCATTCAGTGCCTCAGTCTCCGTACGTCGTGTTTGCAGCCATTTTGGCTGAAGGAGGTAGATGGAAGCCTGGTAACATTTGCGCCGGGTAGAAGTTTCGCTGCCATGATCGTACCTTATCCGAGCCATGAGGACCGGCCAAGCACATCAGGTACCACATCGACAAAAGGCTCGCTTACCAGCTTGGCCGGTTTGCCGCACAGCGTTGTGCGGATCAAAGAGTCAGCAGGCCGGGGTACGTCAAGCTTGGGGCTCTCCCCTTAAGCTTGCTGTGTGGCTGTGTTCAGCGTTCAGCACGGAATTTGGATTCTGACACATATCCAGGTGCGTGTGGAGGCACAGCAAAGTCGAATCCGCGAAGACAGCAGCGACGTGCTCGACTAGAGGAGTTTCTCAAGGGCAATGGTTTTGCAGATGTCTGCGAGCCGCGCATGGGCTCTGGTTGCTTTTTTCGCTCCGAGACACTGGGCATTTATGACGGAAACATCAGCTAAGCGGAGCAGCAAGCACTTTGTTGTGTTTTGGAACCCAGGACAATGTACCCTCTTCACCTGGCCGCCAAGGCGGGTGTTTTTTGAAGCCTTACATCCGCGAAGCAGTCCATGATGTTTTGACAACAGTCTTGAGTGTACGTCAAAGCAGGGGCGACATGCTTCCTTGTAAGCAGTACCATGTGTCCACAGCACAATTCAAATTCCCAACCCTAAGTACACTACGCTCCAGAAAGCCCTGCCTCCAAAAGATGCAATTAGCAAGTTCAGGAGGAGTATTTAAGTGGGTTCATATGCGCACCAGCATTCTGCCCGTCCAGGTGGGGGATTGCGAAGTTGTCCGAATGTTGCTGGCTGCTGGAGCACAGCCCACGCAGAAGACGTCTCGCGGGCGCACGGCCATGGACTTTGCTGCAAAGTCCCACGCGCCCCGACGTGGCAAGGTCGGGAACCGAAGAGGTTAAGTCATTCTCCTTCGTGTCTAATCACAACTCCTGCCACTACGGCTGCAACTGCTGCTTCTGCTTTGTTTTTCTTACCCCGCCTCGCCCGGCATTCCTGTCCCAACCCACCGCCAACGCCGCTGTCGTCGCCTCCCGTCACCATCGCTGCCACCGCCACTGCCGCCACCCCGCCACCACCCCGGCCGCACCACCCCCCCGCACCGCCCCGGCCGCACCGCCACCCCCGCCACCGCCATCCCCGTGGCCGCACCACCACCACCGCCGCCGCCGCACCACTGCCGCCGTCGCCACGGCCGCGGCCGCCGCCGCCGCCGCCACCACCACCACCACCACCATCACCACCATCACCATTACCATTCTTCGCGTACCCCGTACCCAGGGTTTTAAAGGAACGGAGCAACTAAACTATCAACTTGTGAAACCATTTCTACACACCCGCCATCAACCCAAATCCCTCAAGGTCATCGAGCTGCTGAGCCACCAGGGGCCAGTCTTCTGCATGAAGCAGGCTATCCACGTAATGAGTGCACAGATCGGGGAGTAAGCTTGGTGGCTTAGGTTTGCTCCGATTCCAATTCTTTCGTTCTTTGAAAGCGAAAAACGAGGTAGAGGAATCACTGCCATACAAATTCTCATGCGGCTTCCACGAATGCTGTTGAAAGCGATGGGAGGGTTGTTCGTGTTTTAGAGAGCACGCTAAGAAGTGAGCTGAGATTAAGATGCTGGCCGTTGGAGCGAAAGCTCTGACTTGGCCGCCTGGACAGAGGCAAGAATCTTCTTGGCTGTGCGCTGCATTATGCCCCTCATCTGGGTTGAACTTTCCTAAGCTCTCTTGTTCCGATTCCCGAGGCTCATCTTGCCGAGCAAGGAGCCTAACCAGGGCCGGCCCAACACATTTTTTTAAAATCAATTGCAATTCACACTTGTCCTACCTTTGGATGCGTCGCCTAGTTGCCTAGCGAAGCACCATGAAGCAGTAAGAGAGAGGCTACAGAGGATCTGCTGATGGAAAACTAACGGAAAATCTTCAAGAGTGACCCTTTCCTGCGTGTCTCTCTCACTGTTTCATGAAAGCATTCCGAGCTGCACACTAGGCGAAGTCCCTTTGACTACTGGTCCTGCCTGGGAGCGTGGAGTGGATCCCGCAATCAGGGTCCCTCATGGTCTGGGGTACTTGTAGCTTAATCTGCGTTTGTATGAAAGGATAGTAGCGAGTCCTCTTTGAATATGGCTTTTGAGATCTCTGTTAGATCCTTCGGACCTGCATGCGAAATGAACATCCCTCCCAAACCCTTGCGCCACTTCCCTGTCAGGACCCATGTAAGCTGAGTGTTTAATTTGCCAATGTCCTCATCTCTGAAGAGCCAAGTTTTTAGGGTTCTGGATGTGACGTGATTTTGCATTTCCCGCCTTTTTGTGCAACCTTATATGCACCAGTGTTGAGTGTTTGGGTTGCATTTCAAATGGCTGTCGCGGAATGCCCGCCTCAGTTTTGGATAGCGTAGTGTCAGATTTTCAAAGCGATTCTTGGCAAGACTTCATCCGATGAGGTTTGCAGAGTTGAGGTTGGCAAAGTGGGAGTGTTTCAAACGTCTCTACTCACCAGAGGCCAAGCCACCTGCAGAGGAAATGCCGCTGCAAATCATCTAGAAGCAGTGACAAAGCCAGGAGGAAGAGGGAATGGCTGCAAGGAAATTGTTCTTCAAACTACCCATTGCGCTGAAAACATTCCTAGTGTTAGGCCGCCCCCAGTCACAGAAACTCCAAGTAGAATGCTTGGACATAATTAAAGATTTTGTTTACTTGTACTTAACCAAGTCCTACAGAGTTTACAGTGTTTAGGGATTTGTGGTTCAGAGTTTGGGCTCACAGGTTTGTAAGTTAGAGGCCCTGTGGTGATAAACCCAGGCTTTTGCTTGGCAGTTGTGGGGGCGATCTGTCCTGGTGTAGTAGACGGAGAGAGGTGAAGCTGGGCTCGCTATCAGCTGATTGCAAATGACCTCAGAGATTTGACATTCTTGTTGGCTGAGCCTTGTGACATACAGAGGCCCGCGACATACTCTCAAAGAACGTAATTTTTGTGTGTGAATGTCAGCTATGCTGTGCCTTTGGACGTCGGCCTTTCTTCTCGATTGACCTCGAAAGAATGCAGACGAAAGTTGCTTCCCCGGTGCAGCTCTGTGCGATTGCTTGAGCCAAGCCCCAACAAATGACATTTTTTTTCGATGCTCGGGATCCTGGGATCCACAGGATTATCATGACCTTCGCTGTTCTCTTGGAAGCATCTGTTAGCCCGTGATGGTTATTCATACTGTGCTCGAACTTCAGCGAACGTGAAATGGGAGGTGTCAGCAGGGGCAGCAGTAACAGAACTTTCTGTGTTCTTCTGCTGTTAGTCTTAGAATTCTTATGTTACAGAGAGACAAGACCGTTGCAAGAGTGCTGCTTGAAAGACTCGCGAATAAGCTCCTGTTTGTCCCAGCTTGGGGACTGATAGCCATCTTCTGTGTCTATCATGTTCACACATTTGAAGCTGGGATTTGTCATTGAACCGTCGTGCTGCCACATCATCTTCTTTGCTTGTTGTTGTAGTAGCATGGCTCTTGGTAGTCGATGTCGATACATCGTCATTGGCAAAAGCATGTTGTTAGCAGCCGTTGCGTTCGTAGGTACCTTTTGTTTGATACCCGTGTGATTCGCAGCTAGAAGCTCGGAGGTGTGAACTCTAAGCCCGAAACCCAACAGCCAGAACTCTAAACACTTAACCTGAACCTTGAACTCTAAACCTGTAAACCCTAAATCATGAACTCTAGACTCTAAACCCTTCACCCTAGACAATGAAGCTGGCGCAGGCCTACCTTAGCGCCTGACCACCTGGCCACACCCTTGGGCCTGAATGCTGGTTCTGGGCAATATGGGGATCATGCTGAAATCTAACGTCCGGCCAGCAAGGCGTCGGCTCTTGCAAGTAATCCGGTGTTCCTGGCCCAGATCAATTAGTCAAATTTTGTCGTATCTTATTGTAGGGTTTCGGGCGGCAGGTCAGAGTGAATCTGCGACTGAGAGTGGACTGCCAGATTATGCACTGGGATAGTGCGGGGTCTATGTTTCTATGCTTGTAGGAAGACTGGATGTGCAGGTTTTTCGACCCTGTGTAGGAAGGGCACAAAGGGTTGCTAGTTTTGCGGAGATGTAATTTGGCTTGTGATGCTTGGCAAGCCAGTGCAGGTAAATTGACAAGTGGGTATGATTGCTGCTTCTTTCTAGAAGGCGTTTCGTTTGCTTGGTTAATCTGCACAAGGCCATCTGGTATGTCTCAGGTGCCCACTCTCCATCGCTTGGCCACAAAAACGGACTTCTTCACAGCCCGAGTGTCGGCCTGCGTTTTGCCCTTGGTGCTGGCTGCTTTCTTGAAACAGATTCCTGCAAGACATCGGAACCTGCTTTCCAATAATCGGGGCTGCAGAACGCTTCGAAGAGCTCGGCAAGGTTTCTGGGTTGTTCAAGAGGCTAGCTTGCAGAACATGGAAACCCTACACCTGAAGGCCTTGGGGCGACATCAGGGGCCTCTATAATAAATGCTAATCGCTAACCTTGCGTTTATCGATGCGCTTCGCAATAATGAACCAGCGTGTGGGGGTCAGACTAGGTACTACAGGTCGTTCGTAGTAGTACACGTAGAAGGCAAGCTATTGAAATCAGGATGTTCTCCGGTGCGGAGCTTTTTTACTGTCACCCTTCACTGTTGATGATTGAACTTGTTTGTATATTTTCGGGCTCCGAACTTGTCTGAACAAACAAAGTAGTCTTCCGGACTTTTCTGTCTGGGTGGGACTGTTTTCTTGTCACGCCCTTCATTAATTGTAGTTTGACAGTACATCTTTTCTCGGACTCTTGAACCATAATTCAGACCCTAAGTAGCGCAGAATTGCAGACTCTGAGGCCCTTCTTCCGCTGGCCTATCGCCATGCCCCGAACCCAGACAGAAATTTGGGTTTGGTGACCGTTAGAAACCATAGTAGGCATGGGCATGGGGACCAAAAACTGAGGTTAAAATCCCAGGAAGGTAACATGATTCACTCACTGCTTTCTATAGGCCGTGAGGGTAATCTTTTACCGTGCCTGTGTCACAGTCACTGTTTTGGACGTGCATTTCTTGTCGGATTTATTTTTTCTGTAAGATTGGCGGGTGATGCTTCTCTTAAGTTTCTGGAGCACTGCGGCTTGGGCAAATCTAGCGGGCTTACAGAGAGGCCCTTTTTCGAGCTGTTAAAAAGATTCATGGCATGAACATGGCCTGCTCTGAGGCTGTCCAGCGTCGTATTCTTGAAGTGCGAACCGATGGCAAACTTAGACCTAGGAAACCCTGTAAGCCCCTCTGCTCACCTGAGGCCTTCATCCTTTGCCTTTGCCAGCAGTTTACATCCCCAAGCCCTGGATCCCAGTGGTTTGCAGGTGAAAGAGGACCAGAAAGCTGGCTTGCGCAAGGTGAGCTGACCGGTCTCGTGTTGCCTTGGCGTGCAAGTTCTGGTCTGGTTAGTAGGGTTCTGGGGTTAGGGGCATTTGTCAAGGGCATAAACGTCAGGTGACAAGTATCGGAGGAAAGTGCTTGAGCCATGTATTTAGGGGGAAGAGCAGAGCGCTGTGTAATTTGTTCTTGTTGGTTTATGTTGGCTTTCTGTGTAACGTCGTTGCCTGGTATAAGTATTCTCCAAACTTTTTAGCGTGTGGTGGGCTTGACGGCATGCTTTCAGAGTTCAGAGACTGCCTTTGCACCACAGCTTACAATATCACACATGTTCTTTGTAAACCATTGCCCCTGGATTTCAGTGGCTAGTCCATGACGGAAAGGGCTGCTTGAAGCCATGGTGTGCCGGAAGCTGTCCGTAGTCTCAGTTTTTTCAAGATGCAGACTGCAAGGATGAATGTTGAGGTTACCCTAATGTACATCTCATTCTCTGTCTCATATCGATATAAACCCTTTGTCAAAGGACTACAGCAGTCAGAGGGCCTCTGTTGCATGCTTCTTTGGAGCAACGTAAGTAAGCCATGGTCCGCTGCACAGGCCTTTACCATGCTGTGTGCCGATGAGACGCCGATGGTGCGTCGTGCTGCAGCACACAAAATGCGAAGCTGGATTGAAGTTACTAGTAGAATTATGATCAGGTGCGCATGTAACAAGAGGCTTCATGGCTACCATTGCGGTTTTCAGATGTTTTCAGTGCATCATAATCGTGGATGCCCTTGAGGACAGTACTAGAAGGGTGGAAGCGACAGCAAGGCCAACTAGGGTGTCAGCAGATTGCTTGTGGAGTATCAGCACGGGCATTTTGGCTGCAGACGCAGGTTTGTCCTGCTGGAGTCTAGCAAAGCCTTGTAGGAGGCCAATCGTTACACATACAGAGGTAAGTAATTAAGTAGCTTGGCCCCTAAACCCTAAACCCTATATGACCCCATTATAGTAGTTTCCATTTTATTTTCCATTATCCCTACACCCCAAATCCTCAGTTTGGTGGTCATCCCGACCTCCCGAGGAGACTTCATTTCCGTTTGCGCGAAGCAGGAGCATCTGAGCATCTTCAAGGTTTAGATTCCTTTTCTACGTCAAGTCGAGAGCTGAAGGGTCTCTTCTTAGAAGTGGGTTGCAAGGACCCCAATCCTGGGAGATACATTTTTTTTAAACGCTGCTCAGTGAAACTCCTTCGCAATCTAGTTGTGAGTGACTTTCAGACGCCAATTTGCCTAGCTTTGCATTGGTTTCTTTTCTGCACCTCACACCGACGTGTACGTCAACGGTTAATGGTGTGTGAGGACTTAGGTATGGCTCTTCTTGGGCAAGGAAGGGGATTAGAATTGAGCGGTTGTGACGGCTGTCCAGGGCCTCAATGTCTGGGGCCACTGCAAAACGTGTTCAAGTCACGTCTCCGAGCTGCAGCTCCGAGAGTTTCCCACTGCCAATAGAAGCACCAGGGACACGTTCCCTAAAGCTTGACGTCTTGACCAAGAATAGTTGGTCCGGAAAGTCTGAGAGATTGCTGCGTAGCACCAGCCACATACGTCTTCAGGTTCTCGTGCTGGGGCCTGAGAAGTTAGCAGGAAGAATGCTTTGTGCAAAAGATGCTCAGCCGGAAGCTTCCCCCTTTACAGGTGGACAACTGTCAGGATTCTCGCATTCTGCAGGTGTCCCATGCAAATTTGGAGGTCCTATGTTTGACCGAAATCATGTCGAGTGAGCAGGACCTGATTACAGACCTCATTGGCGTCTACAAGCAGCTGTCCCAGGAAGACACACAGGACGGACCAAAGCCAAAAGCAATTCTGTTAAGTTTAATTCAATTTTTGTTTATCAGATTTTTCGGTATTGGGGCTGCAAATATTCCCCAGTAAGCTTGGGCAAGTTGATCGGGCTATATTGTTGGGGATTTTCTTGGTCCACATGAACACAGTAGAATCCGATTGCTGGCTTTGAATCCTGTGTACCAGGGGTGTGGATATGTCCTGGCATGCGCTCTTTTTAGTACCAGAAGCTCTGCCAACACATAGTGGTTCCTAGCGCTGGTGCATCTTGCAATGAGAGCCACTTTGAAGTGCTTTCGAAGCATATCAGGCACGTCTCCTAATTCGTGTTGAGGTCTTCACGTGGAGCCTCGCAGTTATAGAGGCCACAGATGGCAGGACACGATTCGTGTCGCCTGTGTCCATGCCACACTGGTCATCGCCAAGATGCTCAATGCCGATGAGTTCCCACCTCAGAGATCATCCTTTCTAGGTTGGATGGTGGGATTGAGAGCCGGATGCGCTGACACTCTTGGATCAGAAAGCCGAGCGCCAGATCAGAGGCATGTGCATGTCATGAGTTGCTGCAGCGCAGGATTGGGGAGGAGGTTGTCAGGTCTGAAGGTGCTTTTTGAACCATACAGCTGGACACGTTGCAGAAAGCATGTGACCCTTCATCAGGAATCGTCAGCACACAGTGCTGGTCATCAAGGCGTGCCCGTCGCATGTAACCATTTCAGTTCCTGGAACAAGCGAACAAGCCATCATGCGCTGCTTTCTTTTTCGTCTGTGGTTGTGTTACGCTCATGTGGCCGCTGTGAAATGCATGTGCCCGGAGCGCCTGGTTGAAGAGGGGCAACTCTGAAGATGGGATGTGGTTCCAAGCAGCATTCCCACATCCCAAGCCACAAAGTGGCAAGCAACTTCGAACAAGGCTTCCCTACTTTTCAGGTCTGACGCAGCTCTACATCCCCAACCCTGACTGCAGACCTCCAAGCTCCAAACCCTAAAACCTGGCCTAAGTCCCAAGCCCCAAAGGCTTCTCAAACCTAGACCTAGACCCAAAATCAGATCTTGTGTGGCCAGGAAGCGGCAGAGGATCGCTCCTGGCGTGTGAGGCACGCGAAAGAAATCCTTTCTTAGTGGGTTCCAGCCTCTCTTCAAGTGATACTTCTAACTGCGAGGAGGTGCTACAATGATTCTTGCAAGTAGGAACCTGTGATAGTCCGAGCTCCTCCTTCACACCATAGAGTGCCCTACGACAAGCACAATGTACAAAAGGTCCATGTGCTGGTCTGTGGCGGATCCAATTCGGTTTGTTCAGAAGTTTCGCAAGGATTTGTTGTTGCTTGTTGTGCATCCTGATGCCTTGTACCCTACCTATAGGGTTTAGGGTTTAGGGGTTAAGGGTTTAGGGTTAAGTAAGAGTTTTCTATAACCAGTAATGTATTGCCAGGTGCTCAGGTCTTGAGTTTAGATCTCATGTTTAGTGTTTGCAAGTTTGTAGAAGCCTATGGCTAGGACTCAAATACGGAAACCAGATGCTGCCTCGTGGCTGTATGAGCCAAGGCAAGTTGTTTTCCAGCCGAGGCCGATGCTCGATAACCATCTAGCTAACCCCTAAAATCCCCAAACCCATGCCAAATCCCAAAACCCTAACCCCTAAACCCCAAATCTCAAAACCTGAAACCCCCTAACCCTAAGACATGTCAGGCTAACGGTTGCCAAGAACTTTGACCAGCTTTGCCAAGCTTTCGGCCTGCAGCCCAGGTAAGCTGCCACAACCAAGGCCCACTGTAAGCACAGCAGAAGCTCAGGTCCCGAACTTACGGCCCAAAAGCTGATGCAGCCTTTCATCCAGCTCATGAAGGCATTGCTAGCGCAATTGTGCCGGTGAATGTGGTGGCTTGTAGTGAATCTGTTCCCAAATCCTTCTTGTTCTTCTTATTGAACGTGCCCAAGGCAGTTGATGTTTTTGCTTGTGCGTTTGATGGTCGCTGCAGTAAAGGCTGGGGCAGGTTGGGAGCACGGCATCGCGTGGCCTGTATGGACGTGTCCGTTTGTTTCACAGGTTTGGGATGCAGGGATGAGAGGGCCGTTCAGATTCGTCTAGAGCCATGTTTCTTTAGGCAAACCTATCTTGCAGCTTGCAAGCCTTGTCCATCTCATCATGTTTGCTCCTTTGCAGAAGAAAACTTATTCAAAGCCAGATCAAATGCAGGACAATGAGCAGGAAGTGAGGAAGGAGGCTGTCCGGGTCATTGAAGCCTGCCTCAACCTGCCGCTCCCTGAGCTTAGGGTTAGGGACTAATTCCTTCCCGCGAATATCACAACCCCCCGAAAGATTCTCATCGGTGTATACGAACATCTCTTTTCTTACAAGGGTTGGGGGCGTTTACTGTCATGGAAAAGGTTTGTGTTTAGGTGTGGGGAGTGCTTTAGGGTTCCAGGCTTTACGTGCAGCATGTTTGGTCTAGCTCTTGATCGTTGACGTATGCTTGATGAAAATTGATAACCATTGGGACTTCTTTCGGAGCCCTTGTGAAATGACACCTCGTATGTGGGCATGCCAAAAAATCACCGTGATCTGTGAGGTGTGGTAAAGATGGAGAAGAAAAGTCAAAACCACAATGTTGCGAAGTAGCTTCCATTCGTGCATTTCATGAACTGAAAGGGGAGCCACATTGTACAGTGATTCACATTCTCTTTTGCATTGTTTTGGAGCCTGCAGTAGTGGTCATGATTTGCACTTGTTAACACCGTTTTCTTATGCTGCACATCTTTGAACATTAGTTTATATAGCTATGGTTTCGCTGACCCCTACACTGCCAGCAATCCAAACTCATGAGCTGCCTCGCCTACCACGATGCTTCAACCACCTTCGACCCAAAGGACGAAGTCCCAAATCCTGGAAAGTGATAATCCTATGGCCCAAGCTCAAAGCTGGCATTAAGTCCATACCTGAAAGAAGCAAAGCCGGAGCCCTAAATCCTTCAATCAAAGCAGTCCCTCCTGTGGAATCTGTGGCGCCGAACATCCCTGCTGACGTCATCCCCATCTACCCACTTTAGAACCCCCGTAAGTCCTTATGTAATTTCCAGAAGGTTTTTCAAACTCCCTGGAACTGGAACTCATGATGAAAAAAGCCATGCCTTCTGTTAGCAAGTTCAGGCCGGAGCCTCTGACATCGGAGCAGCTCCAGCAGCATATCCTGCCAGCAGCCAAGAATACCCACTGTGTCACTGCACTTTACCCTGAAAGGTTTTTGTGGGGAGGTCTTTCTGAGGGGCCCTGCAAGGCTTTCTCAGGGCTTCAACGAAAGATTTACACTGTTGGCCTCGACTTTAGATTCTAGCACAGAACCTTGTCAGGAGCCATGTCGAAGGGGATTCGCTGATGCATCCTTTCAGCTAGCTCTTGCTCCCCCTGATCCTGGGCTTCTGACAAACTTGCCGGCTTTGAGAGGATTTGGGGGCTAGGTCGGGCAAAGCCCAAGTGATAGCCAGGCGATATCACATAGTCCCGTATTATTTTCATTGTGGAGAAGCCTTCGTGCTCTGTAAAAGAACATATATAAATATGCATGTATATATACATGTATAGTTCGGTGGAGAGCAAGGGTGCTCCAAAAGCTTCGAGGTGCCAAGAATCATCCCAACAATCCATTCCCCGCGAAGCACCAGTGAGCAAAGCCGTGTTTCAGCCAAGGCCGCAGTTCCAGGCCCTGGGATTGGATCCTGCGCAGTCCGTGAGAGCAGCAGGATCCTCAATTCTGAAGCTGGCTTGGGATTGCCTGTCTCTGTGAGACTGGACAGTGGTAGTTTGAAAGGTGAGCAAGGTTCTTGTTAGTTTTAGAGACACCGATGTAGCCCTCTAGGTCTTGCCTCTGGCTCTACTTGGGGGGGTCTATGTCTGGTGGCCTTTCCAGATTGTTGGTTTGTTTTTTTTGGCTTGGCCCTTGGCCTGAAAAATCTCTGCTAAGCGTATGGCCCTCATCAGAGTGAGTCGGAGCTGACGAAAGGTCTACAAAGTCGAATGAACCTTCAGGATTTCATGAAGGAAACGGCCATCTCCCCTCCGAAGATCCTCAGACGGCTGAGGCTTTGGCACAAGTTTTGGGTCCGGTGGCCAAAGCCCTCGGCCGAGACGAGACTTGGTCTGGAAGATGTAAGTTGTGGTTTTTTGGAGAGCGGCAGTTAAAACGGTTTGCTGGCCATATAGGAGATCCTGCGAATGAAGTTCTCTGACAACAATATACTATAATCTGTTATGATATACTACAACATACGATGTTACAATAAGCTACAATATACTACCATATACTACAGTACAGGTATTTGCTTGCACCAGAAGGTTGGATTCCAAAAGGCTGTTCTTGAGAAGCAAGGGCGCGGGCATGGAACTCCAACAAGAATGCTTCTCTGTGTTCGCAGTCACAGGGAAAGCTGTTAACATCACAGGCTTTGTGTGTGTGCACCAGTGGCATTCCCACCAGATGGCCTATATTTCTTTCACAATCACAATGCAGTTTTCGATGTCCTGTTTGAAGCAGGTGACGCAGCGACAGTTGCTGAGTGGTCCAGACATGTTTGGATGCTGAGACTACCAATTGAGGTTGGAGCATTGTTGATAAATTTGCAAATCCGGCATCAAGAGGAGGAATTCCCAAAGGAGCGGGTACTGCTTACCAGACCTTACCTGGAATCGGTCATTGTGGCTCTGTCCATTTTTTGCCTGAAGCCCACAGCGAGGTCGCAATTTGAGAAGGAATCGTGTCAAGATTCAGGATTTGTTTCCCCAAAGTAATTCCTGGGTGCATGACCAGCACAACACCCCAAGGACTTCTCTTATGACCTCCGCCCCTATGTTACGTGTTTCATGGCAGGTCTCATTTCCGATCTCATGAAGGACCAAGTTTGTGGTTTCCCTGAAAATAGCAGGTGCCCCATCTCAAATGGCAATGCTATGTGTCTGCCTGTATTTCTGTTTTATGAAGTGTTGGGTTTGAAGCCTGGGTTGGTAGCATGATGTGTGCACCATTAATCTGGAGATGAGTTGGTGCAGGACGAATTCCACGATGTGCGGCTGAACATTGTGTCTCATGCGGGCCTCATCTGCGAAGTTTTGAGTGTGGATGGTCTTGCGCGGGCCCCGGAGGTTCCTAGACGTGTGCCACTTTGTTATTTATTTGATTTGCTACTTGTCGTCATTGTCCTCAGCCTCTTGCTTCGTTTGCTTTTCACAACTGTTGCAGCGTGCATTTGAGCGGCCTCCTGCAGCCTCACTTTTCGACTGTGACCTTGCCATGCCAGTGCAAGTCTCGGCATGCTTTGCAGTGCTTTTCTTCTGTCGGTCCGAAGGTCCATTCGCTTCTGCACACGGTGCAGAACCTGATCATGGACAACCACTGGCGCATCCGCCAAAGTCCTACTCAAATAACCCCTATATAATCCCAGTTTCCATTTCATTTTCCATTTTCTTTTCCATTTGATTTTCCATTATAGCTAAACCCTATATTATTGGGTACCATAGTAACCCCAAATAAAGTAGGCACTACATAATGATCTCAGTTTCCATTTCATTTTCCATTTTCTTTTCCATTTGATTTTCCATTATAGTAGTTTCTTTTCCATTATTCCCATATACCCCCACTATATACCCTATTATAATGTAGTAGTTTCCTTTTTCTTTTCCATTATCCCAATATAAAATAGGCACTACCCTGAACTAAAGGTGCTACTTAAGACAGAAGATCTCACTGGGCTGGGACACATGTGGTTGACAGGAATAATATAAGGTTAAGGGCCCTATAATGGAGAATCAAATGGAAAAGAAAATGGAAAATGAAATGGAAACTGGGATAATATAGCCAAAATTCTTCCATCTCGCACCGTGCAGAGATTGTGCTTAAGATAGCCGGCATGGGTTTATCTAGAGGGTCCTACAGAGTCCTACAAGTCATGCAGGACCACTTTTTGGTAGTGGTACGAAGTGGAGCAATGCCAATGACCAGCAGGTAATACACACAAGCAATATGAGCGTGCTTTCCTTGCAGCTGCTGCTGAGCCAATGACATCAAGCACACAGTAATATGAGGCGTTCCACTTAAGGCCCGCCAACCGTAGCGGAGCTGCTGTAACCAGCAACATGAGGCGTCCGCCCTACACCAGCTGAAGCCCGAACCAGAAGCCTAATACCCTGACCCTAAACCTCAATCCTAAAGATCTTACAGTAACCGGATGGATTGTTTGTTAACATCTTGCGAGCTTTCGGAGTTAACCTCCTCAGGTCAGAGCGTTGTCGAGCAAGTTCCGAAGCTGGTCCCGGGCCTGGACCTGCTGGCCTCCCCTTTATATGATTGCCAAAAGTGCATATGTCAAAATGCCGATTTCTTCTTGAGGTCCACTTCAGCAAGGATCCTGTTAACCTTGGCGTGATAGTATAGGGTAGTCCAGGGGCTGTAGTTCTTGTTTTCTGTTCATGTCTTTGGTGGTTGGGTCTCATGTCCAGTCAGGGTGTTCTTTCTTCTGCGGACTTTTGAGGCCCCCCGGTCTGACTGACTCACGTTGAGTCGCTTGTGAAGATTGGTGCCTGGTTTAGCCACCCACCTCATAGAATCTTCGCACCAAAAGCAGTCAGCTCCTAATCCTTGTCTCAAATTATCATCCCAGAATCCCAGCTCACCACGCTCTAAGTCGCGGCTTTTTGGCATGGAGATGTTCCAGTCCAAGCTGGAGGCCGGATTGTGAGATGTAGTATGTTGGATCAGACGACATGATTAGCTGGGCTGCGCTCAGTTGGAAAACTTTGCCTGAATGCGTTGGGAGTTTAGGCCACCACTTGTGGTAGGTCCTGGTGGGAGATAGTGAATCAATCGTGATGAGGGCTTCTTGATCTACAAGTCTGTTTTCAAGGGCTGAATTGTGATGCAAAGTCCCACAGCTGGTGCGGTCACTCCATTTCTCTATGCAGGTTTGGCCGAGCAGTTCTCAGCTGCATGTGAAGAGTAGTTAGCAGAAAAAACAAGCTTCTGGAAATTGTTGCGTTTCTGCCGGCTTTCTTGAGAAGTCCCATCCTCTACGTATACCATTTGCAGCCCTTGTTGAATATTATCCGATTTTTTCAACCTGAGGCCTCCAGTGCTGGGCATCACACTTGTATCTTGCCGGATACCGTACCGTAATGTAAATCTCTGCCTTGATCATCCTGCATCTTACACCGTACATCACCTGAAAACGTGAGACACTTGCCCAACTCATGTTCACACCGGGTGGAATCTGCTCATTCTTCCTTTTGGCAGACCATCTTCCTGTCGAGTCTCCGCGACTCCGTGCACTCAGTGCGTCAGGCAAGGCCTCCTCCACTTGCTGTCCTTAGCAGGATGAGAAGGAATGAGTGAGCTTGCAAGGAGTCCATGCTGAGGCAGACGAAGGTGACAGGTTCAAACCGATAGTTCAGTACCATGGGCATTTCGTGAAGTGCAAGCCAAGGGGAACAGCCCAAAAGAAGTAACAACGGGGGGGCTTCGTCTGCTTTTGTCTGGGACACCTCCTCACCCCAACCTTCGACTCAGGGCCCCTGCTTTGTCATGCTTGGTCTAAGGTTCATGGAAATTTGCCTTCGCAAGCCATTTTTGCTTCAACGGAAGACTTTTGGTAACGCCTCGTGGCCCTTCGACTAAATTCGTCAAAGCCGGTGTGCGAGTGAGGCAGTTTTGCTGCGGGATTTGTTTTTTTTCCCAAATGTCATTTTCAGGCTAAGCCTAAGACTTCTTGGTACATCTTGCGTAGGGGAACTTCTGCATCAGAGGAGCGCTGGTCAGCCTTAACGATTTCTATCCGAAGTTACCTCGGAACCTAGCACCCTAGTCTCTACTTGTCCTTAACCCACGCAAAAGTTTCATGTCCCGCTGCCTTGAATCTTCAAGGCTGCTATCCAGCATTTGAAAGAGATTGCCGACACTTTCGGTTCTCAGTGGACCGTGGAGCACCTTCTGCCTGATCCCTCAGATTCATGTGTCGGGCATTCTGGACGTATCTTGCCCCCCAAAATATGAACGCTTTCTGTTTGGGGGCCTCCAAAAGGGATATGATCATTTTTTATCATTCTTCCATCAGCAAGATATCAGACATCTCTGCAGAGCAGACTGGCGCTTACCTTTCTGGTGGTGGTTTTGCTGCTGCTTCTGTTGCTGCTGGTCCTGCCACTTCTTGTATCGTGGCAACTGCGACAGTCGCCATTATAGTCATCGGTATTTGTTGCTTTGAATTATGGTTCGGGCTTTCAAGAATGTTTTTGTCGGAGGGTTCGCATTTTTATTGCGTTGACGAACGGCATTTCCACTAGAGTTGCTTCAGCATCCCCCTGAAGCTTGTAATTCAAGGTTTTTGGTTCTGGCCTGCGATGATGATGAGGATGATGATGATGATGAGGATGATGATGATGATGAGGATGATGATGATGGTGATAAGATGATGATGATGATGACGACAACGATGAT